ACGCAAAATGGAAAAGCAGGAAGGAGGCCAGATGAAAAAGTCCTATACAATGTTGCCTACCCTGAAGAAGGATATCTAACCAAGAAACAGTATAACAGCTCTCTGAAACTTGTGACAGTCTCCATGTTGGGAGCTGGCATTTTGGGACAGGTTGATGAATGTTTTAAGTAATTTTAAAATTAGATTTTCAGGTGTGCTTTACAAGTGGACAGTAGGGAATGTCCTTGAAAGACTGAGTAGTTTCTTTCACACATATTACTGGCACTTCTTCTAATAGTGCTTCCTAATTTAAAAAAGCTGCACTGCCTCAATTTACTTTTCCATTCATCACCTTCTTCTACAATAACTTTTAAAATTGGCAAACAATTTTAATCAAATCTATCAAAACGTCTGAGACTCCAAAAATATAAAGTTTGTAGCTTTAAAGAGAAATTGAAAATAACATCCCTGATTGGGAAAAGGGCTGTAATCTGAAATCTGCAAAGTTAAATCAGTCTCGTGCTTTCCCACTCCCTCACTCCACATCTCAGCACAGTTAGCATACATGGAAATAATCCTGAGACACTGAAGATTGAGGAGAGGCAGGGAACATAATGGAGATTGTGATGTTGATATACAGGATACAAGTTTGCAAAAACACAGTTCTTAGTTAACTGTTCCCAAACCACTTATTTTTTTTTCCTTATTTGGAGAATGCCAGGTACAGCCTGAACCTGAAACAAACCTAACTGCTCTCATCCTATAAAAAACAAAACGATATCTGTTATGGCTGGGCCTGCTCATATCATATTCTTTAAAAATAATCAGTTCTATTTTTATATTCAAAGTCTATGTGATTTTAAGACCAAAATGCTCTTTTGAAATAAAATACTCATTTGCAAATCAATAGGTGAGTCTTAAAATAAGCTGTATCATTTCATGGATGTTGCTATGGACCAGTATACTACTTCTGCATAATTGAAGCACTCAATAAACATTGTAAGAAAGCACAACCTATGCTGAAGGAAAAATGATGTCACAAACAAACACACTGTGAAGATGCATCTGTTGCTCAGCAGTGTTGATTGTCACATGTAAATCAGAGTAGCCTCAGTAGGAGTTGGAGCTTATAATTGTCAAAAGTTGGTTTTATCTAGGTGACCGTTGCTCCCCACTGTTCTTCAGCTTCTCTTAATTGATGTCATGCAGATCAAAAATTAGATAGGTTAATGGGAAAAATGTTAGTTTTTAATTTATGAGATAATCTTAAGTCAAATTAGAACTAGAAAAGCAAATTTAGAACACTTAACAAAATCAATTAATTATGAATCAATTAATTGTCACTTTAGAAAGTGAGACTATTTGAAAACAAATAATATCAGGCCCTCAAAGTGAGAGTTGATGTACTGGAGATATAATATTGGTCCATTTATAAAAGTTTCACTGACATTACTTATCTACCTAGTACCAAGAACCACAGTATTTAGCTTCAGTGCCAAGCAGTCCACCAAAAAGCGCACTCATTGAAACCCAAGCCATTCCAAACATATATCTTTACTTACACTTGTTTATCTCATCTGGGCATTTACAATATTTACTTTGGCTTTTAAATTTTTTTTCTTTAACTTATCATATAGGTTAATACAATATACACATGCATGATATACAACTGTAAGTCAGAACTTGGTAGAAGTTATTATTAGAGCAGTTACTACTTTCTAGCATAAGCAACAAAGAATGTTTTACTGGATTCCCAAATTAAAGTACCAAGAATTCTATCTGCCGGTATAACCAGCCTCTTGGCTTCTGTATACACGCATGCTTATAGATACAAACCACTGACCTCAAATTATCAGCTTCCTAAGATGGAACCTTCTATGGAAGTGGTCTAAGGCCACTTTTACTAATTATGTTAACAACTGTTATTGTTCCTTCACAGCAGAATAATTTGGGATCCTAGAAAACAGAGTGAGAGGAATTGGTAGTTAAAAACAAAACAAAACAAAACAAAACAAAACAAAACAAAACAGAGAGGCCATCCATATTCCCTTAATATCAGAAAACATCTTTCTCCTTCCAGACACATCAAAACCATGGGAAACTGAAGACTGGCAATATTGTCACAGAATGTGTAAATGTGTATCAAAGGTTATTACTGACAACAGTATATTTCTTTCATTATCAGATTTCAAAACTAAACAAACAAAAACTCTAAAATTTCTTGAATGATAAGCTTGTCTTCCTCCTAGAAGAAAAGTTTTCTATTTATTTTAAATATTTTCAGAAGAAGTACCACGATTAGTCTGTCTTTGAAGAGAAAAGGTAATAAAATGATAAGACTAGGAAAATAGCCGTGTTTAAAACTATCACCTGACAATCCTTTGTATAAAACTAATACCACTTGAAAGCCCTTTATTATAAGTTACTTCTTTAACCCTGGATGCAAGGTTTATTATTCAAACAAATGGAGTGCTTTTTGTGATTGAATAAGTCTCCTGGATTTATTTCTGCTATTCTAGAACATAATCCAAAACGGTCAATGTAACCTTTGTGGAAAATAATCATAGTTTTTTCCTTATCTTGAAAATAACCAAGAGTTATTGTCTAAAAGCAAGGAGGGAGTAAGGGGAAAAATTACTTCGATCTCAGTTTATCCTTTGTCTGGCTAAACATTAAGAAGGTTAGCTTGACAGGAACACCATGCTTACAAGGCAGGCAAGATCTACATCTTTCAGCTACCTGTAGAGAGAACTACTGGCTCCAGTGAGCAGCAGAGACTTAGGTGCAGACTTAACTAAACAATAGTAGAAAGAAAAGTGCGAATTTTACACAGTTGTCATGGCAGATTAACATAATGAGGCTTTGGAGCCTCGTTATAAGCACTTAAATTTCTATGTTAGAATTACTTCTTCAATCTCTTCATTCAGCCAATGCATTGATCCAAAATTGGTTGTTGTTGAGAACGTTCCAATCATGAATGTGCTATTTTACTATATATCAGATGTAAGAAATTCCTTGAATTGTGCTTGTTCAATTTATTATCAGTTTATTGTTCATTTTAATTAAACAAGTACAAGTTTTTAATTAAACAAGTAAATTTATGTACATACTCGCAGCAGTTGAAGCTGTTATATTTAACTTGTAAATAATTCTTTGCTTTACATAGATGTACCTATTTTTAAGGGGTAGCACAACAAAATTAAGAAGTCTATAAATGGTTTATTCAAAAATCTATGCTTTGTTAGCCAAATTTAGCCAATTTATTTAACTACTCACTGGGATTCTGTTACGATTTCTTCCATATTTCTAGTTTCCCTGCCATGTAATTAACAAATCTGCCTCCACTTGAAATATTTACAATATTGTCATTTAGGCATAAAAAATGTGCATCTTGCTACGATGTACATATCTGCACATGAAAACTAAACTGATTTCTTGCAAGAGTGATATATAAGTGCTCCATAGGCTAAACTGTTAAGAAATTTAGACTAGCTTTTTCATCCTAGAAACAAGACCTGCATTACTTATTTGGAGTTATTTGTTGTTGTTTTTGTTTGTTTGTTTGTTTTGTTTTTCCTAACATACCCATTTCTGGTAGATGGTGCCTAAGTGGTTAGGTATTTGAGAAAGTGTTTTGGGTGTGGGAAGGAGGAAGCAGGAAAGATGTAGCATTTAAAAGACAGGATGATGGTTGGTTTACCTACATAAGTTGTTATCAATTGTTTCTTAGTACATATTTTAAAGGTAGAAAGAAGAATAAAAAATGAATTGAAATAACAATAGGGATCCAAAACAAGCAAAAAGCAGGCAAACTAGGCTACGCTGGATGTATGTAAGATCTACTGAGAAAGAAAACACATTTCATTTGATTGTGGGTTTTGAGCTTCTTAGGAAATGTTTTAGAATTAATTGAAGAATGCAAGGAAAAAAAATGAAGTCCTAAGTAGAGAAGGATGTTGTTTTCGAAAGCAGATAAGAAAAAGCATGGAAATCAGTACGTAATTGAGTGCCCAGTTAAATGGGAAGGATATTTAATGTGTATAACTTATGCATAAATAAGTGCTGGACACAGCATTCAAGGCATCACTAGTTTAAATTGAAAAAATAAAAATTTCTTTGCCCAGAAGATCTTCTCAACATTAAAAACAGAATGGTGAAAAAATTCCAATGTAAAGATTCCATGATAAACCTCAATCACCACTAGTAAAAAATATATATATTAAAGAGGAGTAACCTGAAAGTACAGGCATTGGTTAATTGTATTAAATATGTAGCAGTGTACCTAACTTGGATTTTGTATTGATTATGTTTCATTTATAAGCACCAACTTGAGAATGACCAGAGGCAGGGGGGTAGTAAAATAGGCACAGTGAGTATTCTCACCCACATCTTGGAAGAATGCTAAAATGCCAGAAACCACACAGTTAGTTGAAAGAAAGGAAAAGAAAAAGAAAAAGAAAAAGAAAAAGAAAAAGGAAAAGGAAAAGGAAAAGGAAAAGGAAAAGGAAAA